TACGTACGTACGTACGTACGTACGTACGTACGTACGTACGTACGTACGTACGTACGTCGTACGTCTACGTCTCGTACTCGTCTACGTCTACTCGTACTCTCTCTCTCTCTCTCTCTCTCCTCCTCTCTCTCTCTCTCTCTCTCTCTCTCTCTCTCTCTCTCTCTCTCTCTCTCTCTCTCTTCTTCTTCTTCTTCGTCTTCTTTTTTTATTTTATGTTGGGATCTGGTAGAAATAGAACTCAAGACATCATTTTGTGGTACCTTACTACCCTAACCATTTTTGACTTGATCCGATTCCTTTGGATATGGTGCTCCTGTAACTTATGTATTTCCTTCTATCAAAAATGATTTTTTATGGTTGCCAGCATGTATGATTTGATACTTTATATTCTTCTAAGTGAACGCAAAAGTTTATACGAGGAAGTCAACCTTATACTGTAGAAATAAGGTGCACATAAAAAATCCACTCAAAAATGTTGTTCGGATGTCGAAAAACTTTGCAATTGATCATCTCGACCTCAAGATGTATGGATATGAAAAAAAAAAGGATTTGGAATTCCACAAATAATGCATCTTGTAACACATTATCTAAATTGTCCATTTTCAAGCATTTTAAGTGTTTATAGATATGCTCAATCTACACCATTTTTAGAGTTTTAAGTGTTTATAGATATGCTCAATCAACACCATTTTTAGAGGTTTAACTTTCAAATTAGGTGCTAAAGTAGATTTTAAGGCCATTGTAAGTGTTTCCAGCAGCCAAACTGCATCTTTTAACAAGATTTAGAGGTGTGCCTTTCTTTGATTGTTTAAGGTTGGCACCTTATACAAACTGCACCCGTGAGTGCAATTGACTATATTGTATTAAAGAAAAGTGAGATATATCTCATGTACAATTGAAGGCAGTTTGTTCCAAAAAAGAACTACATGGCTTTGTCCCATATAGAATTGATCTGGTAAATGTTCCTCTGCGACAAATTCTTTTCAATGCTGAAGATGCCTTTGCATGTTGTGTTCGGACCAATGGCTAATTATCTTCAGATCTCTAATTCAGGATTGATTTTTAAATTGAACCCAATTGATCTAGCCATGGTTCAAAGAGAGCTCCAACTAACCAGCAAAAGTGGAAAAATAGAAGTTGAAGAGAGTTCTTACAGTCCTTATGAAGACCCACATAAAATATAGGGATAGCTGACTTCTAGTTAGTGGCCCAAAGATCATCAGTATCAAAGTACAGTGGGTTTATGATCCATTAAAGAAGTGCAGTTTACGATGTTGACGGCCGGAGTTGCATCAATCAAGATGCTAGGGTGGCCCCCAATTAGCTTGAGAAATCCCCTAATATACTTCAAATGCATGGCTACATCATTTGCATAACAAGCTTTTTGAATTTTGACTATGGAGATGCAACGTTGGAGGAAATTTCCAAGGTCATATTATAAGGTCCATTTGGAACCTACTTAGTGGAATGTGATGAAGAGATGGCTTTGTGCAGGTGGTTCAAAGCAGATGTCGTTTAAAGAAATTGTACTCTTTTGTCTAGCCCTTTTCCAGTGAAAATGAACCAATAGCTAAGCGTCCTTATGAAAACTTGCCAAAATTTGAGTTCATATTCTACTTTTTTGAGAGAGTGTGTGTGTGTGTGTATATAGATAAATAGACAACGAAATGGTAGCAGTTAAATTTAAATTTATAAACTCCACTAAGAAATCTACATATTCCATTTAAAATATCACTCTGACAGTGCCCTGTTCAATTTCTATAGGAGTTAGTTTAAAAACAATAATTGTGACAGAGGCCCAATATAACTCATGGTGCATTAGTGTGTGTAGATTGTGCGATTTTTATCCTGATGAATGTAGCATTCATTCTCTGACTGCTTATGTTTCCACCTGACTGCATAATTGCACTTATGCTTATGTGAAAATGTCATTCATTTGTTCTTCACATGTCTTTCAGTTGAGGGCGGCTCTTGATCCGAAGAGGCATTACAAGAAAGGCAGCTCTGAAGTGCTTCCCAAGTATTTTCAGGTGAGTAGATTTGTGGCTGCACAAACTTAAATGGCAAATATCTTTTAGTTAATTGTCAAAAGCTATATAATTATTTTTTTGAATGAATGGTCATAATAATAGGTAGGTTGAGTCATATGTGCAATGTTTGGCCCTCATGATTGTTGTAGTGTGTGTGTGTGTGTGTTTGTGTGTGATAGAGAGAGAGAGAGAGAGAGAGAGAGAGAGAGAGTAGTCTG